CCGCCGCACACGTGGCACGTGAACATATCGCCCGTCAACGTCTATCTTTATCATTTACGCATCGTTCCAATAAGGATAATTTTTTGTCATAAATATCCAATTTTATAACTACAGAAAATAGATACAAAGATAACAAGGTTGGCGAGCATCTAGGGATCGGTGTAGTCCGGACTGGTTCAGGCCTGTGACGCTCATCGGGTTTAAAACTGGACCAGGTCTGATGAGCTTAAACAAGTCAAAGTCGGTTGGCTTGGATACGTGCGAGTGTTGCATAAAGATAGATATCACAAACACATAGATATACATATTCGGACTTTAGAGGAAGACCTGCATCAAAGCTAATAACTTTCTTTTAGTTTAAATTTAAATTATGAGTACAAGTGAAAAAATTATTTTCAGTTTTGTAAAAAATTTAACAATCATAATAAACTCGGGTTGGGCCGAACCAATATTGGGTTGGGCGAATGGTAGGCCGGACCTACTTATTTAGTGTCGGGTTTAAATTAAACCCAACCCGACCTATGAACCTCCTTCAACGTGAGGCATGGACCAAGCAGGGTCTTGACCCATGTCAGACTAGGCCTGTTTGGCTCATGTTTTGAACCAACCCATGCACACCCTAGCGAGCATCAAAGAATGGCCAGATATGCAGCTATCCATGGGCTCTTATTTAACAGGTCCAAAATGGTTGAAATTTGGAGCATGTATACTTTTTTTTAAAAGTAACTTTGCAACAAGGTGACTGTTTGGGAGTACTGCCCGTGTTCTGAGGATTCACAAATTTGTCGAGAGAGAAGGCACATAAATCAACTAATAATAGCACAAATTCAAACACAGAAGTTTAACGTGGTTCGACAAATTGCCTACGTCCACGGGCCAAGAAGGGGATAGATTTTCACTATAATAGAGAGAGTACAAAATAGAGATTACAATATCACTCAAAAAACTCACAAATAATCTCTCAAACTAAACTCTCAAATCTCTCACAAAACCCTCAAACAAATTGCTCAGAAAGAACTCTCTTTTCTATGCTCAAAACTCTCCTTCAAGCTACCCCAAAACTCAGTCAATACAATCGGAAACCCTAAACAAATCGTGTTTCTATTTATATTAAATAGAAATCCCAAACAGTGCAGAAAACCGAAGCAGGCCCAAACCCGACTCGTGATCGACCGCTGAAATCGTCACGGTCGACCGACCAGAAAGACAGAACATAAAATCGACTACAGGGTTTGGCAGTCGACCGCAACGGCCGACCGTGACCTGTGTCGAAATCTTCCCCGTGTTGTGCACGTTTGCGATCGAGCGCGACGAACTCGACAATCGACCAGACAATACTCAATATGTTCACAGCTTAAAATTTTCTGAACCTCTTCAATGTGTTCTCCATTTCTACAGTGATGAGGGAATTTATTGAATGAAGAAAAGGGATAAATGAACACACATGAAGAAGATGGAAGAAGTATAAAAGATAAGAAGAAGGATATGAAGAAGAAAAGAAAGAAGAAGAAACAGTTAAAAATCTAAATCAAGATGTCTCCCCGCTCCAATCTAATTATCTACTATGATGTCAAGTGAGGTTTTCATACCTAAAAAAAGATGATTGTACAAATAGACAATGAAGTGTATACGCATCCCTTAGTTTATTACAAAACACCCTCATTTCATTCAATTTAAATGTGGAAAGTAGCAGGCTTGAACAACAAAATTATATTGATTAAGCATGTATAAAGGGACATTCTAACATAAGGAGTCCCAAAGTGTTGTAGTCGATTGATAGATGTGTATTAAAATAAAATTAGACAATAATACTATTTCAAACACCATGACTGTAAGGAAAATTGAGGAAGATGCGATCATTTGATTCTAGATTACTGTTGTAAAAGGAACATGCAGAATTGTGTGGAAAATTCCTCTTGACAAGATTATCGGCAGTGAGAAATCTACCATATATGGCTAACCACATAAGAATCTTCACCTTGAGCCAAGTGGGGATGCCGTAGAAATCTACCATATATGGCTAGCCACATAAGAATCTTCACCTTGAGCCAAGTGGGGATGCCGTATGGACCATAGTTGACAAAAAGAAGATATGATATGAAGATTGTGCACGTTTGCGATCGACCATGACATGTGTCAAAATCTTCCCTGTGTTGTGCACATTTGCGATCGACCGGACATCACTCAAAATGTTCTCAGCTTCAAATTTCCTGAACCTCATCAGTGTGTTTGTCGTTTCTACAATTCTCCACCTCGACGAAGTTTTCCCAAAATTGAGCCGATACCAACCAAACCAAATATCTCACTTATTGCGTCCAGTACAAAGTGAAACAATTCACGACAACGGACTCAATCCATAACAAGTCGGGAACCCAAATGAGAATGCGAACAAACTCCAAAATGTTGGTATCAACCCATCAAATCGACTGCATCAAAAAACTAACTGCCTACGTATCATTTTGCCCAATAAATCAAGCCTCACGTAGTTTACCTAAATGGTCGCAAACGACCTTAATCAACTAGAAGAATTTTCAATCCTTCACCAATATCTTGATCATCAACACTAACAAATCTGCAACTGATAACATCTGCTGCAATCGAATCATGATCCTGAACATCAAGTTCCTGATCCTCAAACTCATCATCTGTATCACCATCAATAATATCTCCAATTTGTGTCACCTCAGCTCGAATCCCAATCAATACAGAATGACCTGAAGTATGTGGTAGTCTCCACCCAATGTGAAGTAGATTCACTCTCCACCTGTTATGATACATCTATAGTCTATCCCCAACTCTCCACCTGCTGAGAGTCAATTAGCTCCCTCATCGAAGCCTCATAAAAAGTGACATTCCTAGACCAAACTTCCAATTGAGTTTTACCTCCTATCACAACAGTTGGCAACCCTTTAATAAGGTGACTCGAATATGTCGAAGCCTCAGTCCAGAAACTATTCTGCAAACCATTGCTTGACCACAAACATCGATCCTTCTCCAGCAAGACACGGTTCTCTAACTTTACCATCCTATCTAGTTGCCCTAAGATTTTCTCTCCATTGAAGTGTCTCTAGTTGCCTTGAGCTCGGCACGAATATAGAAACAGATCCCTCTTGTACTTCTCACTAAAATCAGAAATCAGAATGGAGTACCTTCATCCTTCTGTTTTTCTTACACTTCTTCAACATGTTGTAGACTACTAGGACTTCACTCAAACAGGACTTGGTTGCAAGCCAAACATGTCTAGAACAGTCATCAACAAAGGAAACCAAATGTCTATTACCTCCTAATAATGCCTCCTTGGAAGGCCCTCAAATACCCACGTGAACTCCATTGAAAAGACCCTTAGCTCGATGAATAGAGATGCCAAATTTCACCTTGGTCTTCTTGCTCACATCAAAATATTCATTGGACTTCAAACTGTAGGTTGATACACCTTTCTCCAAATCAATACTGGAATGACCAAGCCTTAAATGTCGCAGTCTAGTTGAATCAATAGAAGTCGCCAGATCTCCACCTGTTATCTTATTTCCAATCAAATAGTACATGTTATTATTCCTGATACCCTTCATCACAATCAAAGAGTCTTTCACAATCTCGAGAACAATGTCCTTAATACGAACTTTCAGACCCTCTCCAACTAAAGCTCCAATCGAGATCAAGTTCTTCCTTAAAGAAAGAACATATCTCACTCCATATAACTCTCTAACCATCCCATCAAACATCTTGATGCAAATTTTACTTATCCCAAGGATCTGTCATTCACGGTTATCACACATGTATACCACACCACTATCTAGCTTCTCAAAACTAGATAATCATTCCCTTT